ACCTACCCGTAACGTTAATTAGGTAGGTTTTAGTTTTCGTTTTTAGGTTTTAAGTTTTAGTTTAGTATATACTATAGTATACTACACGTACGTTCGTTCTTCTCTCTCTCTCTCTCTCTCTCTCTCTCTCTAAAAGATCTCAAAGAATTGCACGACAATCAATATGATTCCCTCTTCTTCACATGTTCTTTTTACATATATCTTCATTCTTTTGGAGAATGAGATCTCAAAGAATTGCAGGACAATGAATATGATTCCCCTTCTTCACGTGTTCTTTTTTCATGTATCTCCATTCTTTTCGTCCATTCTTGAATTAAATTTTCAGATTTTTCCTTTTGAGAGATGGGCATGTTCCATTCATTCTTTTCTCTCCCTTTTTTGTTTATTTTTTAATTGCAAAAGCTGGTGCAAAATTATTTACTCATTGAAAACAAACATTTGCTCAAATTATAAATGTAGATATACAAACACAAACTCAAAAGTTATTTCACTCTGACAGCATTCATTCTTAAGGCGCTTTACAAACACATTTTATCCACTTATAATAAATTGGAAGCCATATGAAATGGTAAAGAAGTCTTTGAAACTTCCCCAAGCTTCTTTCAGATGTGGCTAGCTCTTTTTGGGTATGAAGCAAACCAAAATACCCAAGAAGCATTAGCTCTCCCTGAAAAAGTGGTGATCCAACCGCATCTTCCAGTACGGCTTCACTCCAATCATTAGCCCGCCCCACCTCCGGCATCCCCTTCCTTGCAGTTAAGGTAACAACTTCAAGCATGGTCAGCGCCCATAGTGTAATGCTGCTCATAAACATAACCCTTGAGATACTTGACCCGCACCTATTCATCACACCTCCTAACACGCTCATATCCACTTTCTATGCAATTTCCTCCAGTCGTTCCTTGTGTTGAATCCTAGACCTTTTTTGTTTCCCAAGTGCCAATATTTCCGGGCGAATTATGCCCAAACAGAAGGGCCTGCTGGAACTATTATTGATCCTATGCCAGAGATAGCCGGAAATGCACGAATATGTGCTATTTGAGAGGTCTTCTAGTTCTAAATTCTGACTATTCCCATGAGGAATTGAGTAGTTCTCCTAATAATTAATTAAGTCCCATTTGGAAGCCTAGACCTCAGGAGTCATTTGTTTCAGTTGGGCATTCTGGATTTATTTACTTCTATGATTTGTGGCCTGGAGTTGCTTTCTTCTTGTGGCTCGTGTTTGGTTCGGATCTTAGAATACTGTATGGCCACTTAAGAATAGAGGTTTGCCTCAACTATGCAGTTACATGTTATCCCATTGAGGTTTTTTCTTTTCTTTTTTTTTTTTCCGCTTTTTGTGTATGTGATTTATTTAGAAGCATATTTCAAAGCATTTACATGCTAGCCCATTGAGATCTTTTGTTTTTGTGTTGGATCATTTATTTGCAAGCACATTTCAAGTAGGCACTTCCTCTAAAGGGTGCAAAGGGTAATTATAATGGGTAGAGGCGAACAGGAGTGGGAAGTTGTTGTTGACACTTTCCTATCCAATGACATTACTTGTTATGTTCTGAAGTATCATCTGATTGGTGTTCCGTTGGTCACAAACCCAAAGAGTGGAAGTGAAATAGGAAAGGGAAGCCCGTTGCCTTACCGCTTGGCCATGCCCCATTTCTATTTCTATTTGACGGTAATAAACACTAATATTAGTATTGGTTGTTTGTCAATTCCAGCCTGATTATTCACTGCTGAATAGCTGGCACATTGAGAAATATCCAGAAAGGCATTTTGGGAATCGATCTGATTCTATCTCTGTTCGTTCCGTTTGAAGAAAGGAAGGATCCCAAAGAATCGATCTTTCTTTTAGTTGCTCAATTGCTGTTTGATGTATCAATGTGCGATATTTCGAATCCTCATTACTAATGGAATTGAAATGATCTCTGGTAGCTCACTAATCGAGCGCTCTTGCACCAAAGATGAACAGGGCTGAGCGATCTGCTGAAGCTGTGGGATGTAAAAATGCATCGGTTTTTTATTGGTTTTCTTTTGTATAGTCTTTTCTTGGTAGATGTATTCCTAATATTTATATCTCCACTGCATTTTTTCAATTTGTATAAATTATTTGAAAATTAGAAAGAATATAATTATCAACATTGTAAGGACATGGGTTCCCTTACTTTTATGACAGTATTAGATGTTATCAAATATAAGAGCATTAATTATGAGAGAGTCTACTATATTTGCATCTTGACAGTACTCAAGCCACCAAATGGCCACAATATCACTACATGCCATTGGCAAACAAATCATCATCACAATCATTATCATCCAAGCCTTATCCCAACTAATTGGGGTCAGCTAATAGCCAACAAATCATGATGCTATAGAATATCACCTTTGTCTTGTTCCCGAGTTTTCTTTGTTTCTCAGTCTTGGATTGTAACAGCATAGGGAGTTTGAAAACATCTCCCAACTCAGAATGTTCCTTTCACAAAGGTTCTTAACCTAAATATTTCTTTCAATCTCTTGATGCCTTACCCAAGAAAACGGTATTACTCTCAGCTATTTGCCCAAATGTAGTTGAATTCAATCAAAGTGCAAGCAATAAGCTGTTCTATTTAATAAACAAACTCTATATTATTCTTGAATCCAATAGGTTGTGCCTTTCTTTGTCACAACAAAGTTGACACTTTTGTTGTACTTTGCTTTTCAATCTCAAATAGTTATACAAGCATAACTAAGGCAGTAGTTGGCTTAAGGGTAAGTATCCTATGATCTTATCGTACTGCAATATCTTCATAATCCATTGCAGTCATCACTTTCTGATGAAATGATGGAGTAAGCGGGAACTGGACATGACCATCTGGTGATAGGTCTCACTCTTTTTTTTCTCTATGGCCATTCATTATTCCATTGGACAGTGATGACCCTATGTTCTAATTTCTAAAGTTCTCGTGGTACATTTCATTATAGTAAGCTTTCTCTCTTTCCGTGTGCATCATAGCACTGTGATTGTTCTTTATTATTAAATTTTCTCTGGTCTTTGTGGTTGTTTTCAGCTTGTGATTTTGATCTGTTATTTTCTTTAGTTCCACTGCTGCAGTTCATCGAATTTATGAGATCAAAGGACGCAAACATACTAGTCCTCTGGCAGTTTGTGTTGCTAATGTATCTGACATCAAACGCTTTGCTGAAACGGATCACTTGGCTCATGGATTGCTGGACAGTCTCCTCCCAGGACCTGTCACTGTTGTGTTGAAGCGAGGTCCTCTCTCTCTCTCTCTCTCGAACATTTTTAGATAGGCCACATTCTGGACTTTTTCCAGATAGGCCAGACTTAGAAGATTGATATTATCAATCATCTGTGAAATCTGTCTCCTTAATAATCTGTATAATTTGTTATAGAAGTGCAATATCAAAAGTTACCAAAACAAATGTATCCATTTTCCCTTGAAAATCTCTTCTATATTCTGTCCAAATCTTTATTTTTTAAAAAAATAATCTATTATGAGAAGTCCCAGGAGCCAATTTGACACTTGTATTTGGATTTTCGGAAACAAGAATAAATTAATAAAGAAATTTAGAAATATTAGTTTACATGTTAATTATTCCTACATGAAATAGGAATTTCTATAATAGTATTTAGCTTATCTTAAGAAATTCAGAAAAAATTAGAAAAGTCTAGACAACTATAATAGCAAATATTGGATGACTTAAAAATAAAATACATTATTTTTCATTTTGTTTAATTATTTCAAAACTTAGTTTTATCTAAGTTCTCAGCTTTAGCATCTTGCAATGCACACGCCTTAGCTAAAGAGTGTGTGTGTTAGGATACTCTCCAATGACGTTTCATGAAGCTCCTACGAGTGATGGTCTACAGTATGTGGTGTTATTTGTTGAATTTTTTCTTTTTTTAATGTTTGTTGAACTCCGGTAAGATTTAATGATATGCAGGTAATGACAGCATCTTAGAGAAGTCTTTGAATCCTGGGTTAGAGAGTATTGGAGTTCGGGTTCCCAATTACAACTTCATTCGAAAAATTGCACGTGGTTCGGGAAGTGCCCTTGCTCTCACAAGTGCCAACCTAAGTGGGCAGCCCAGCAGTGTTAACATTAAAGATTTTGAACACCTTTGGCACCATTGTTCATATGTCTATGATGGTGGTTTGCTTCCTGCTGGTCGAGCTGGATCAACAGTCGTAGACCTCACAAACCCCGGATATTACAAGATTATCAGGCCTGGAAGGTATGTTTATAATCCATGGTTTTCATTTCTTTGAGATATTTGTATTACTTTTATCAATAGTTAGCATTGCCCAAATGTTTTGAGATATTTATTCACAGTTTTAGCTGCATTCGTTTTAAGTAAGCTATAATTCGATTGTTGTAGAACCATAGTCCATTTTGGCCATCACCATATAATAGGATGGCAGACAGTGATGGAGAAGAGTGTATAGGTCCCACTCTCTCCCTAAATTGAAGTCATTTTCTTTTAGTTTATTATTTTAGTGCTTTAAAGTCCGGTTTTTTTGCTTGGAATCTTGGACTCTATGATTGTGCAAACTGTGTTTTCCTTTGGCAGTGCTTTGGATGAAACTGCAGCTGCTCTTCGAAGATTTGGATTGGAGGAAACTTTATGATGTGTGGTGTGTCTCCAATGTCCATTGCCTCCCGTGGTGCAAATCTGGGAATTTTTTTTTTGTTTTTTCCTTTTGCATAATTTGGGTTGGTACCTTTATAGCACTGCGAGAATTGGGTTGGCAGTTTCCCCTGTACTTTTAATTCACTGATTTTTTTTGTATAAAAAACTGTATTATTTAACCTTATTAATGAATGACCCCTTCATAATCCTCAATAGGCCATATCTGTGTTGAGAAATCAGATTAGATTGACCTATTAATTGGCGTATATAGTAGTCCTTAAAGTCAACAGATTCAAAAGAAGAAGAAAACGACATGCATGGTATATTAAAAAAGCCGACTCGGCCAAGGTACTTGGGACCTAGCTGAGACGAGTTACTCGAGCAAGTCTGAGTAACTCGAGTCCAACTCATTTTTTTTAAAGAAAATGAAAAAAACTAATTGTTATATATAATATAAATACCTCTTTTATCAACAAAGTAAAAAATGACATGTTGGTTGGTGCGTTTTCTATAAAAAGGCCTATTTGTAAGAGGTTTTGAGCTCGATTCTTGGTCTTAACTTTTTTTTTTATTTTTAATAGATGTTGAACACCAACAAAATGATGTGTAAAAAAAAACAGATGATAGGCAGGATTTGAACCCTTGGTTGGGGTTGATTGGGGTAAAGTTTATTCATTAGAATTAACCAATAAACTATTCTAATTTATTTGATATGAATTTACGGTAATATTATACTTAAGTTTGAAAATATTATGTAAAACTAATTTGCTTAAAACTTACCTCCAATATTGAAAATCTTTGGGATAGCCTTAAAATAAATTTTTAGGTTTAATTATAAAATTTAAAGCTTCAAAAATGGGGTAGATCGAACTGATCAATGAAAACTTGAAAATTGACGGTCCAGACATGGGTTACGAGATGCATCAATCCAATTTTTTTTTCAAATCCATGCATCTTGAGGTCGAGATGATCAATTTGAGGATATTTGAGTATCAAAACAGCATCTTCTAGTGAAATTTTTGAGGTGGGCTTTTATTTTATTGTTCAGAGCTTTTGCTGTATATAAACTCTTTTCAATAACTAAATAACATGCTAAAATCCACCAAATCCCCTACGGCATTTGATGTAGAAGATGGACCTACAATTTAATTGAAGCATAGAAATTGCAAGAAAGGTAGTAAAATATTAGAATAGTGCAAGAGAAATGGGGAGCCTGGTTTAACTTTCCTCATTTTAATCTTCATAGGAAAAACTTTACTCATTTTTTTATTCCTTGCCAACTTTAGTGATTAAATAAAGGAAAGCCAATTTACAAGTTATTTCAAAGAAACTCTAAATAATATATAATTATAATTAAGAATTGTATACTATAAGACCATTTATCTTTGTTACAATGAAATCGCAATTATTATTATCCATTAGATGTCAAATTGAAAGACTTGATATGTGTTGCACAAGTCGAGAAAATTTTAATTAAACTTCGAATATGTCAATGACTTGTTCACAACCACCCAATTTGAAATCTAATAGATAAGAGATTTATTCACAACCAACCAATTTAATTTGAAATCTAATAGATAAGAGATTTATTCACAACCAACCAATTTAAATTCTAACAGACAAAATTGATTGGTACCTTCTTGTATGAAAAATAATTGGCCTCCTTATATACTTTTCCAAATAACTTTTCTTCCGACAGGTTTATTACTTTTCCTATTCTCCTTGGGAAAGGAGAGAATTGCCAATCTTACAAGAGAAGGATACATGTCATTTTAATCTCTCACCAGAAATGAGCTCCTTCGGGAAGGAGATAATTGCCAATCTTACAAGAAAAGGATACATGTCCTTTTAATCTCTCACCAGAAATGAGCTAAAAACAAGAGATAATCACTGTTACACACTAATTATCTTCTCACAAACCACCTTTACCATAACTAGAAAGATGCGCGATAGAAAAAGGATTGAGCTCTGTAGGTATTCAATTCCGATTCCCCTGATCTAAGGAGACTCTGGAGTCAACGCACTATATATCTAACAAAGAAATTGAAAACAAATAAAAAAATTTGAAAATAAAAAATCTAGATAATACACTACAAGATGTATTATTTTTACAACTTGAAATCTCTTTTTTTAATCCATATCCATATATCTCAATGTCAATCATTAGAAACAAGAAAACAACCCGATCATTTAGAAACATCAAAACCACCCCTTCTCGAAGGAATTTCTCACATTCAGAAATAACCAAAAACAAAAAATAGGCGCAAGAAAACATTCAAAAACAGCCAGTAGAGAGAAAAAGGAGAGTCAATGCGTCACCAAGAGAGAGAATCCACAGTTCTCTCTCTCTCTCTCTCATGTATAAAAAAGTACCTGAAACAAACAACAAAAAGTGCTCTATCTCACGTGTATAATAAAGTACCTGAAACAAACAACACAAAATAAAACCCTTCACATAATACATTAACTCATCCAAAATAAGAACTGTTCACACACATTGCAGCAAACTGAAAGAAATCAGAAACATAGAAGGCAGAGCACAAATCAGAATCAGTACAGACTCCAGAATCAAACCCAAACACCAACTACCACGCAAGCCAACTAAACTTCTTAAACCTCACTCTAAACTCACATCACATGCTTTTTATTACTTAATGCTAAGAGGCTCTAGGAAAGAGAGGCTACTCATCATCAGTCTTCGACTGAGCCTTGGTTTCCGCACTCCAAAGCCACAGCCTCATCCTTAATGCTGAATTAATGAGAGATATCATTATATATATATATAGAGAGAGAGAGCGAGAGAGAATCTGTCTATTCCTCATCCTCGGTCTCGGATTCAGCACTCTGAAGCCACTCGGCAAAAGGCTTAACAATCTTCCAAATCTGGTCACCCTTTGTCGAACCCGAAACCCCCTCTTTAAACCACTGGAATATGTAATCCTCCTCCAACACATCTGCATCATACAACGCCTTCAAAGCCAAACCCACTTCCTTCACCGCATCGGCATTTGCCCCATTGCAAAACCCTCCAATTGCCCTCAGCAAGAGGGTCTGCCTGCTCGCATCCGAGCCCACAGCTGCTGCCAAATACCCTTTCTTTTTAGCAACTTCCTTCGCGAAGCCCTTCCCAGCATTCTCAAAAAGAGCCCAAAATAGTGCATCCATAACCTCCTGCTGCGAGCCCGACAGTGAACTAAGCAGGGCCAGGAGCTGCCCCGGGGTGCTCCCCTTCTTCAACCACCCCTTAATCTCAAAAATTAGGGTCCCAGTGGTGGCTTCTTCCTCTTGCTCTTCTCCATCTTCCTCATCTTGTGATTGTTTCTTAGTAGATCCTCCATTTTGGATCTGCACCTCTTGTTTCTTGTTCAATTTGTTCTCCGATTCAGTTTTGGCAGGTTCACTTTTCTTGGGTTTGGACTCCGGCTCACTGGTGGTGTTGAGCATGACCATCTCGGCAGTGACAGCACTCAGCTGCTCCTGGATGCGCTGGCGGGCAGCCTCGGCAGAAGTGTCAGTCTGCCACTGGACATCGTTATCATCGTCACTCTCGCCATCACCTACAGCCTCATTCTCATCGGCCTGGCTCCCAACTGGCGACGACTTATCCTCGTCAGATGCCGATGCCTTCTTCCTTGAGAAAGATGATGATTTCTTGGTAATCGAGTCCTTGGGTGTGGTGGCTGATGCCTTCTTCTTGACCTCTTTCTTCGCCTTCCTTAGCTCCTCGTCTGCTGCCTCGCCTTCCTTGAGCCGCTCCTTCTCAGCCCTCCTCAGCTTCTTGTCCTTTGAACCCTTCTTTTGCTCTGGTGGATTCTTCAGGATGAAAGTTGTGAGCTTGTCCCTCATGTCCACCTATAGTCACCAAATCAATTGCAAGACAATAAAAAATCACAAAATTCAAATTCAGCAACTTCACAACTTGTACATCAAGAGATTCTCCAGGATCCCAAGCCCGAGCCAGACATCTGCTCCGTAGGGTCTCAAAATAACATATATAAAATTCAAGGACTTGGGTAAGACACACCCCAGCACTAGAGTTCGTCATTCAGACCCAGTAGGGCGCCAGGTCCAAGTGACTCAGCAAGTGCATATCCCCAAGTCACTGTTTTTAAAGTGCTAGATCACATTGCAGATAACCCTGTGGGTATAATCCTTGCTTTCACTATGGGAGCTCAAGTTAGAACCCACGAGCAACGTTGTCTGTGTGATATCATTATAACATATAAATGTTATTTATGAAAGCGTGGGAATAAGTAAGCATATATAACATAGCATAAATATGTACTGGCAGCAAGTGACATGGACATGCATCCATACACATGTAAAATACAAATATAACCATGAGCATATCTGTAAGCATGTTCATACATGTTCCATGTGTGCACACAAGTCCATGTATGTATTCATCATAATACAGGCACATGATTGGAAGAGATGGGTTTCATGGATAAATGGCTTACACAACCATGGAACAACAAACCTGGTTACTGTGTGCATATCATGCATGTATATAGACATACCTCCATTTAGCGAAGTAATTGAATATATGTATTATGCATTGATATGTATATGGTATTATACTACATAGTACATGGACATACATCCACAGAAGTATGCATGTGTGAAAACATACATATGAAAACATATTTTAACAGACCAGATTCATATATTCAACCCAGATCAACTAGTACCCACCCCTCCCCATGAGAGCATATGTATCATGCACATGTGTACAATTGTCTGCATAAACAAACACATGCAAATATGCAAAGTCTATATGATTGCTTTTAACAAGGATTTCTCCCACACACCTCAGATACAAACCCACAGGCAGCGCACTTGAGGTTGATCATCTGGGTCTTGGTGATCACAATCTCAGTCTCTGGGTTGCCGCACCCATAGCACTGCACGTATTTCTTAATGAAGTTCTCAAGGAGGCCAGCAAGCTTAGCGGTGTCATGGGCTCCATTGACAAGAGAAACCCCATTCTTCTCGTCGAATTTGGACTGAGCCCCGAGTTCACACCCAAAGTACTTGGTTGTGTAGGATGCCGGCCTAGCAAGGGCCTTTGCGATTTCCACCATATTCACCACATTGGTCTTTATGCCATTCCCTCTACCCTCTATTTTAGTTATCATCCTAGGCATCTTATACCTATAGAAGGCATCATCACGGTTCGCCGCACCAATATTTTGGAGCGCCATGTTTGCTCGTAGGTAAGTTGATTTGATTACAGAAGTGACAAAGGAGGACAACTAAGAGGTGAGTTACCAAGGTTGTTCAGTTGAGACAAGGGGCAAATTTGTCCGACTACCGACGGGTTGTTTCTTCTCTTGGACTGGAGAATGGGCGCATTAAAGTGCAACCCCAAAGATGTATAGAATTGAGAAGTAATAGGTGTGGCTGCATGCATCTGAGTACAGGCAGGACCCGTGTGGGGACGTTTATACTTGTGTCTGGACGTAGGACAGTACTCCCCTAGCAACCCAACAGATCCCAAAAAGGAAGAGGCGGCTACAGACATAAAAGAAACTTCAAACTTAACACCCTCCACTTTGACAACGTGCAAATCTGCTCACACACCGGTCTCTCCACAACTCCCTGCATAAATATGCAACATCATCAGAGCTTAAACCATCAAAGAGTATGAAACAAGTAACATCCGAGAAACATAAATGGATGCATTTAGCATTAAAGCTTTGCCAAGACACAGGCCAATAGGCAGAGTTTATACAGTGTGTATCAGCAGAAGAATGATTCAAGAGGAGTGAAAAACCACAAGAACAACTAGAAAAGATACAAAAATGCAACTCAGTCCATTCCCTATATCAGCTTCCTAATGCAATGATTACATGAATCAATCTGGGGAAGCAGAAATTATGGACCTCAATATAATCAAAGAAGATTCATGGTTTATAGGGGCCAATCAGTAGAAAAGACATGAGTGAGCAAGAAACATCACCCTCAGCCAATGCTGCATGAAATACTAACATGAAATACTAAAAATTGCCCATCTTCATTTAGTTGAAAAATAAATATAGTACTTTAAAAATATATAATATACTAAAAATTTGCTTTATCTTCATTTAGTTGGTTGAACCAGTTAGAGCCGCCTGGTCTGGCCGACCACAACTGGTCAAATATTGGTTTTGACCCGTTTTTTACCAAATATGGTTCTTAGACCGGATCAACCAAGACACAATTCGACCAGTTAGACCACCATTTGGTTCGCGCTTGATAACTATAGTTGGGACAACCTTTTTTAGTAATTTTTCATGGTGCACCTTACTTGCATAGTATAAGGTTGGCACCACCTAACATACATAAGCACCGGTCAGCAAGTCGACCGGTTAAACCACCGGTTCGGTTCAGTCTTGAAAACTATAGTTGGGGCAAATTTTTCAGTAATTTTTCATGGTGCGCCTTACTTGCATAGTATAAGGTTGGCACCTGACATACATAATGGGACAACCTTTTTCAGTCATTTTTCAAGGTGCACCTTACTTATATAATATAAGGTTGGTACCTGACATACATACATACACACACAAACATATAACGACTTTTTTTAAAAAAACTTGATAACGAGGACTTTATACTACTTAATATATTATTGCAGGATCTCTAACACTCAGAGCAAATGTTCTAAATATATATCGAAATTACACACACTCACTGATACATAGAGCAATTGGGTCGATAGGAGCTGAATTAGCTCTTTTGAGGTGGATTCTAATATTTGTTGTATTCTGATTATTTAAGCCTTTAAGGTAAATTTTGAGCCTTGAACAATCAAACCAAAAACCAAATCAATAATCCACAAGCAGTCCAATCACCTCACTGTTGACTGGGTAAAAACAGACCACTCCATGAAGAAAACAAATCAAAAACCTTAATCCAATCTATTTTGGCCAAAATTGCAAATAAATCGAGCTAAAAAAATTCCTCTTCCTACTACAACTACAAAGCATTCTCTCCAAACCCCTGACTCAAAATCAAACACAAAAAGCAAGATAATAAAAGGACATGGATGTATCATCAGCTACAAACCATGGATCAGACATACAAATCCCTTTGATAAGGTCATACGCAACAAGGAGACAAAAATGCCTGAATGATTTTCAAACCCACTTAAAGATTCGCAAATAAGAAATAATCCTTGCAAAAAAAAAAAAACAACAGAACATAGATACAGCAAAGGAAATCCAAATCTACTATGACCATGAAATAAACATTCGAGCCCAAATCTATGAGCACCAAAAAGAGCTTCAATAAATCTCACGCCATGAGCTATCCATTCCTTTAGCTGTCAATAGCAGATCAAATACAACAAATTTCCACAAAAAAACAACCTAGAGCAAAACAGATGACATAGATTGTACTGACCAGAATCACTTATACCAAATAACTTTCTGAAGATCAGAGAAATTTTTAAGGAAAAAGAAACAGCATAACTCAAGTTAAAACCGATAACTGCAGAAAGGTAACAACAGATCACAGATCAGTTCTATTAGAAGAGGTAGATCAAAATAACATATCTAACTACAACAACATACAAAAGAATGCAGGAATTCACAAAACCCTAACCGGAATCTGAAACTTGACTCTTTACAATCGAAAAGGAAATAATCTGCATGATACACAGCCGAAACCCAGCAAAGCCTAACCATATACCTTCATCGACATAAAAAGGTACCCCTAACACAAACGCATAACATTGATAGAGAGATCTAAACAATCAGAATAACCTAGAGAATTAAACGCCATAAATCACCTATCAAGACGAAAACGAAGACAGCCATGGCCGAAGATAACAAAAACCTTACTTGTATAAGAAAAATACCTTGAAAATAGAATGAAAATAAACGCCAAATACTCCGATAGAAAGCGAAGAAAAGCTTGTTAACAATAAACTCAGGCAGAGAAGATGAGCTATTTATACAGTCGAGACTAGGGTTAGGTCTGATAATGGAGATAATTTTCCGAGGTTGAAAAATATCCAATTTTTTTTTTGGAAGATGTTCGGATATGGCTGCCGCTCTATTAAAATGGGTATAGATAAGTGTTTGGTGAGTTGGCGACTCACCTAGTTTTGTGCGGTCTCCCAAAAAAATATATCTCGGGGGTTCATTTTCGATTAAAAATTTTATAGATCAATAATATAAGAACAATTGCTTCATGCGGGCTGGACCACATTTCTACAATATGCAATCCAAATGTATTAGGGTGCGGTTTGTAGGGAGCCTAGGCTCTGAACAATCAAATTAGAGCCTACCTCTAAATCGACTCGAGAAATGTGGTTTCAATATTCGGAATCTTTGTCGTAGACTTAAAATATATTTTCATCGTTATTTATAAAGTTTAAAACTTCAAAAATAGTGTAGATCGATATATCTATGAAAACTTGAAAATCTTCAAAATTCACTGTCCAAAAATGCATTGCAAAATACACTATTTATAAAACTTGAAATTCATTTTTTTCTCATGTCCATACATCTTGAAGTTAAAGATGATCAATTTGAGGATATGTGGACATCAAAACAACCTCTTCTACAGAAATTTTTGAGGTAGGCTCTAATTTGATTGTTTAGCGCCTCGACTCTATATAAATTTTTCTCAATGTATAAAGCATCCATCTTTAAGATGGATGCAAATAGGTAGTCCCTCTAAACCAATCGTAACTAATGGTTCAAATGCTTTTTTAATATAATTATTATTTCAAGTTTTGAAAATTTATTTATTTATTAAGATATCCATGTGACAAAATATATATTCTCTAAAAATTATGATCAAATTATATTTAAAAATTTGATTTATTGCCAATCCCGTATTTCTACAAATGCGGGCTTGGCTGCATGCTAATTGTGTTCATAATTTAAACACGACAATGATCTAAATTTAGAATTTTTTTCTTTTGACAAAATATAAATGTTATTTTTTGAATTCATTTCTTCATTGTTCATTTTAACTTTTACTAGATGTAACATTTTCTGACATCCATCTTAGAAATGGGTGTTAGATCGACAATGGACCGCACGGTAATAGGTGAGTCGTCTGACTCACGAAAACCATATCCAACAAGTAAAGCCTCACCTCAAAACTCATTAAAAATTGGAGTTGTGGTATTGAAAAATTCAAATCGGCCATCTCAACCTTGACCGTGATGGTTGTGAGAAAAATTAGGATTTCAAGTCCTAAAAATAGTGTGTATTGTAACCTATTACCTAGACCATCCATTTCGCCCTGAACAAAAGTTTTCACAATCCACAATATCTATATATATTTTTTAGCTTCAAATCTCATGATCAGTGTTGAAAATTGATGTTAGAGTCATCAGCCCAATGTCCTTTCTAGACAATGATTTTAAACGAGGCTTTACATTATTTTCATAAAACCTAGGCCTTATAGAAACTGTATCTTTTTTTTCTTTTGGGGAAAAGGTATTGTTTGATGCAGTGCTTGAAAAGTAGATCTATGACCCGAATCGTTCACACCCATACTCGTGGCGGATCAGTGTATTGGTTTGGATAATTGGTCGAATTGGTAATTTTTGTCTCAATTTTTTTTTCAAAAAATACTATAAATCTCTAAAAATAGTGTTATTTTAGTTTCTAAAATAAACTAGGAGTAATGCATTATGAACTTTCATTACTTTGTAAAAATAGGTGAATACTTAGAGTATGAGACGTCGTTTTCCTATCTGAATTCTGTTACAGAGCTTACAACAACAACAAAAATAACCTAATACAAAAACGAAATACGACTTCATTTTTTCAAAGTATATTTTTTATTTAAAAGTTGTGTCCTTGTTACAATAAGTGATCTATGTTGAATCCCATCTCAAGTTTTAGATGACTCTTTTCACCACCCATGCTTGTTCCAAGGAGTAAAAGAGAGATCATGTATTCAAGTTGGGTTTCCATACATCAATATAATTCCAATTTTACATTGCAAGTTAATTCCTATAAAAAGTAAGTATTATCTTGTAAATCAAACTACAAGCAGCATAATCCAAATCATATTATTTCCAATAGAATATAAAGTCAAATTGTAGGATAAAATAAGTTGATCATGTATCATGAACATACATTTTACTGCATTAAAAAAATGACAATAAAATTGAAAATTACTAATTTTTTTGTATGGTAATTTTACATTCGTGACATTTAATTGAATATAAATACAATAAAATAGATAAAATATCTCATTATACAAAGAGAAAGAATCACATACATTTGTCAAAATTCACAATTTTAATCAGCAAATTAATTTAAATTTGATTACTCGAAAAACCTAAAATGTATCAATATGTATCTTGCAAAAATCAGTCTTGAAATCATGCTCAATCATGCGAATTAATTTCATGATATTGTGGACAAAATCAGTAGCTTCAAAATGACTCAAAATGTACAAAAAATGGGTCAAAATTCAGGCCATAATAAAAAAAATAGCACATAAACCCTAACAAACATAGACAACCACATAGCATTTCAACAAAAAATTCATATATATAAAAGAATAAAATGATAAATCATGACACTACTGGATTTACGAATTTAAACAATGATGATCAAAATTAATATATCAATTGAATATGAATCGACTTATAATGAACGAAATTTTTTATTTGAAAATCAGGGTTCTCGAGTTTGTGTGAAACAGTTACGATTTCTTCAAAAATCGGTCAACATAACTTGATTAATCACACAAATAACACCCATAATCATATGAATAACATCATTATCTTAAAAAAACCTTCTAAAAGCATTCAGAATGGTGCCCTAATTTGTCTGAAATCAACACTTTAGCAAAAGAAAAAGCCCTAAAATGTTATTCATAAGACTTGAAATCGAAAATCGATCGGCAATCGACCAAAAAACACAAAAAAGGGCTACAATTTGTGGTTAATAACACTATAAAGAACAAAAAATCTGACATGGACAAAAAATTTGCCCAAAACCCACCGCAATCGATCAAATGATGGGGAAAAAGGTCATTACATGTGCTTAAAAATTGTGACTTTAAATAAAAAATCGACCAGCAATTGATCAAAAATCACGAAAATGGGCTATAATTTATGGTCAATAACAAAACCCCTATGATATGATAAAAAACCTTGCCCAAATTCATATGGAATTGATTAAATGGCGGAAAAAAAAACGTCACTTGTTCTTCAAAAACAGTGACTGCAAATCGAATTTATAATATCAAATCAAGCATGGATTAGTTTATAATGTGTTGTAAGGCTGTAATGGGATCTGCCAAACCCTACAAATCGACTAGAGATTCGTTTTTTATCAAATAATTGATCAAACAGATCCAATTGTGATAATTGAGAAGCCTTATACTGTTCATAACGGAGGAATCGGTGGACTCAACGAGTTATGGTACGAAAAAGAGAGGTAAACTTATTGCCAATATTTGTATTTTGTGCAAAGAAGGTACAAAGAGTGGGGATCACATGTTTATTCCGTGTAAATTAACATTAAGCTTGTAGAGTTGGGCTTTTCAAGCAGTAGAGTGCTCTCTTTTTCTACTGTTGAGGTATACCATCATTATGATCGGTTAGCAATTCCCACTTTGCCAAAGAAAGGAGCTATTATTTGAAAGATCTTAAGGACGTCGATATTGTGGGAAGTTTGGCTGGAAATGTGGTGACCCTGATTTTCTCTGTCTTATAGAGTGCACGACGGGATAAGGAGAGAGCGCGGCAGTGTGAAAGTGCGTGGCAGTAGTGCAGCTTTATAGGGGCTAAGGGACGCGGTCGTGACATATATAGTATCAGAGCAGCTATGATATGATTATTGGCCTAGAGAGTCTTAGAAGTGTCCTTAGAGTGGTTATTGGATGGGTTAGTGACTTGGTGCTCATAGAATTTGTTTCTCTTTGATGTCCTTTTAGGCGTGGGTTAGTTGTGTGTGCACGCCTCTGTAGATTTTTTTTGGAGAGGACCATTTAAGTGACGATCAAGTATATGATTTTAAAGACAAATCCTTTTTAAGGGAGGATAATGTAACGACCCATATTTTTTCGGACTTATAGAGTACACAGCAGGCTAAGGAGAGCGCGCGACAGTGAGAGTGAGCACGCAACAATGTGAATGCACGTGGCAGTGTGAGTGCCGTGCGTGGCAGTATGAGAAGCAAAAGTAGATGGTGAGAAAGCGCATGGCAGCGAGAGAGAGTGCGGTAGTGAGAGTGCGCGCGACAGTGTCAATGCACACGGTAGTGAAGGAAGAGAAGAAGAGAGAACACGCGCGTCAAAGTGAGAGCGCGACAGTGTGAAAGTGCATTTCATGAACACATAATAGCATAATCTACTTACCTTGTGCTCCAAAGGTGATTCCAAAATCCTTCACACAACCACTTCTCCAAGCTTATTCCACAAGGCTCAAAGCAGCTGGAATTGTGAAGTGTTCAAGAGAAAAAATGAACATGGCATGTGATTGTATAGAAATGGTGTGAAGATAATAGGATTGCATGTATGTTCTAGGTTCTATTTTCCAGAAATTGGGGTTTCTTTGCATGATATATTAGGCACTGTTATCATTCTTGTTGAGCATAAAAATCGGTGAAATGATGCTCTTGTGAGTATAGTTTAAGATCGAAAGGTTTCATGTTCTTGTCTAGTATAGATTAGAAGTTATAAAGTGATATTTGAAGGGTGCCATGGTTGTGTTGTGAAATTCCAGGTAGGTTTGAGGTTTTTGTAAGACTTTGTTGACCTATCAAATGATATCCACATTGTCTCATATCAGCATTGGAAAGATTTATGTGTCCACTTTGATTTTGTTGTTTAGGCCCAGTCAAAATTCGTGATAGTTTGGAAGCTATGCTTCAAATTATGCCAGCATGTCACTATTAGCAGATTTCATTGAAATTCATAACTGTTGCCACTGTTGCCATAAGAGTTGACTGATCAAATGGAGTCCAATTGCTCCGAAACCAATGCCAATTGAAAGATCTGGGTGTTTTCTTTAAGTTTCATGTTGAAACCATCCCAAAATTCCTTATAGATTGAAAGTTATACTTCTGTTAAGATTGATAGGTCACTGTTAGTAAAATGCATAAAATTTCAGAAATATTGCTTATGTTGTACCCAAGTGTTGGCTGATCAAACGGTGGTCAATTGACTCCAAACCATGTTTGAATAAGATATAGATGGGTCTATTTTAATTGTTGTTTTGTGACTAGGTCGAGATTCTTTATAAACCATAAACTATATCTAATTCTGTGAGACTATCACCCCTAAATTAGTGAATATTATGATGTAATGAATGTTTTAGTAAATGTCATTAAACAATGAATGCCTATGAAATGGAAAGGGCAATGAAATAGTAAATGCGGGTGAATTAGTGAATGTGCCTAGTTGTTATAAGACATGCTTATGAAATAGTGGATGCTCATGATGTGAGACCCGACGGAGATGTGACATGAAGCACTATGCAATGGGTCATCCATTGGTAGTGTGATGTGATGTGATATGATTGTAACATTTTAGATATTGTAAGAACTTTGGAGACTGAATATGTATATAAATGATTTTAATTTATCTAGTTTTGTTATGTTTCTGGTGGGAGTTTTCTCTTTTTCCGTGGTTTGCTTTGATTGCCGCTTTTCTAAAGAGATGAGCGCACGACCTTGGGATCACAGACCCGTACTCTGCCACCCTCTGGCATGAGCGATAGCGGATAGGGGGCCGGGTCGTGACAGGAAAGGAATAGTCGACTTGTATTAAACATAAGAGTTTTGCATAACGTGTGGTTTTGGTATTCCAATACTAAATATGGTTTTGAGGTGTCAAATATTGATATTCTTTTTAACCTTCATTCATTGATTTCTCAACCTTTGTTAAATTATAGACCTTTAGGGAGATGAATGCCTCCTTTATAGGGTTGCGTTAAGCTTAATTTTGATGAGAGTTCTACGGGTTACCCAGGGCTAACCACTTTTGGTGGAATAGGAAGGGACTCAAGGAGTTAGGAGATTTTCTCCTTTTGGGGTATCTATGACATTGCTACAACGATTTGTGCTAAGTTGTTAACGACTCTACATGGCATTAAGTTTTTTAAGGATTGTTGTGCTAGCGTAGGATGGATGGTGGAGGGAGCTGGTGCTCAAGTAAAGGGACCTCTTTGGTGTTTAAGGAAATATTTGCTACATTCGGTAGATATTTGTTTGAGTCAAGTGGTTTCTTTTCATCATGTTTTTAGGGAAGCTAATGATAGGGCAGATTCATCAACTAAAAATGGGGTGTTTAAGGAAATATTTGCTTTAATCGGTAGATATTTGTCAGAGTACTGCTCATCGCTTTGTTATATGGTCTGTGTAGCCATTATGTACTAATGTACGTTCCATAATTAATACAGTTCTTTGCACTTGTCAAAAATAATAACAATATTTGAGTGAGAAAAAAGACAAAGTATGTGTTCATAGGAGCCCAACGGTCAAGATTGAAATTGAACCGATTCAACGGTGACGACTTCATTTTGTATTTGAATTTTAATTTCATTTATATGAATATAGATAATTTAAAATTTTAGACGTGTATTTTTCAAAATTAGGATAACCTAATAAAAATATCAAATAAATAATTTGTAAGAAATAAATTGATCGAAATGCCCCTAAAACGTTTCGAATGTAATGTGATCAATTTATTTTTTACGAATTATTTTTAAAATATTTTTGTTAGGTGCGTATTGATGAGCAGAATGGGCACCCGAAATTTTAATTTATTTGGATATATAGAAAAAAATTAAAATTAAAATACGAAATAACGTTGTGACCGTCAGATCAGTTCATATCCAATATAGAGATCACCTTAATATTTTAAAAGAGTTTGGATCCCATTTGTGTTTTTTTATAATCAAAATTAACTTATTTTTGGTTTTTGAAAAATAAAAATTTCAAAAATTTAGGTTTTAAGAAAACTAAAAAAGAGTAAAAACATATTTTTAAATTTTTTTGCTATGGATTGGGCAAAAAAAACCATAACAGTAATAATGGAAAATATGTAATATTTTTATAATAATTAAAATTTAAAAATATATATTAATGTACTTTTTTTTAAAAAAATTATAAAGTGAAAAAAATGGACAACTAACAACGACAGGTATTTAGTATTTTCTAGAGAGAAAAAGTATTTAGTATTTTCGTCATTTTTATTTCTCTCTCCCAATTCCTGGAGAAAGAAAGGAGCTCGCCGACCTTCCCTACCTGCGCGTGTTTCATACCCTAAAGCCTTTGGCGGGAGAGAGCAAAATTCGTTCTCGAGCGAGAGAGTTTGAGCGAGAGGGGGTTTTTGTAGAGAGAGGAGTTTTTAGAGAGAGAGAGAGCAAGAAAAGAGGGATGATGAAGATCGAGGAGGTCCAGTCCACCACGAAGAAGCAGAGAATCGCGACTCATACCCATATCAAAGGCCTCGGCCTGGACGTAACCACGATCCCCCTTTTGCCAGTCTTTCATGGTGCTTCATTGTCCAGTTTAGGGTTTTTAGAGGGAGAGAGATGCTAAGTTGGCATGCATGTTGGAAATGCAGGTTTGTCTCTTTCTGTTATCAGTTTTGTTTCACTGTGTTTCTCTCTCTCTTCTTTCAGGCGAGTGGAAGGGCAATAGCCATGTCTGCTGGTTTTGTGGGGCAAGCAGGGGCCAGAGAAGCTGCGGGACTCGTGGTTGACATGATTCGACAGAAGAAGATGGCGGGTAGAGCTCTTCTTCTTGCTGGTGCTCCTGGTACAGGGAAGACTGCTCTGGCTCTTGGGATTTCTCAAGAGCTTGGAAGCAAGGTTAAGTTTTTTCATAATGAATAGTGGCTCTTTTTCAAGTTTTACAAGGATTTCACTCCATTTTGTTCCTTTAGGATTGGGGTCATGTTAGAAATTTCACTTTTTGCTCATATATCTGTCAAGTTTTTACCAGCAAATCATGAGTTTTTATCACGAGGACTGCATACAATTTTTTTGCTTTTGGGTTGGGATCATCTTAAAACATTTAATTTTTGCTCGTATATCTGTCAAGTTTTTCACAGTGAACCATGGCTTTTTTTTTTCAAGTACTACGAGGACTACACTCAGGCTTATTGCTTTAGGGTTGGAGTTATGCTAAACATTTCACTTTTTGGTCGTATATCTGTCAAGTTTTTCACAGTGAATCATGATTTTTTTTTTCATGTATTGGAAATTTGGAAGGCCTGTACCCAGTATTGTTGCTTTTGGGTTGGGTTTATGTTATAAATTCCACTTTTTGTTAGTTTTTATGTCTGGGTTTTTATGAAGTGTTCATGGTTTGCTTGTATTTGTTGTGGTTCAGTGGTGGAAGTGTTTGCTTGTACATACTCATTTTTTAGATATTTGATATTTGTATAGCCTTTATGGTTTATGATGAGCTTCTCAATATTTGCCTGTATAGGAAATATTGGTTGTGGGGTATTTTCACTATTTACTTTTAAGAACGGTTTTGCTGGTCTAGCGTTATTGTCAAGCTCTTATTCTTGTTGGTGCTCTTGGTATTGGCAAGAATGCTCCAGCTCTGGGGATTTCTCAAGATCTTGGAAGCAAGGTTTAAAATTTTCATATTGAAAATGGCTTTTATATTTTATGGATTGAAGAATTACACAGTTTTTTGTGGGTCTAGGGGTAAGTTGCATTATTCTCCTGTATAGTTGTCGTTGGCTATGAATTTTCAATTTTTGCTTGTAATACTTTTCTGGGTTGTGATGAAATATTCACTATTTTCATGTATACAGATATGGTCGTTAAGAAAAAAAGGAATTCAGTTATTGCTTGTATAGCACTATGGGTTATGATGAATTTTTTGCTAATTGTATGTATAGTTGATGTGGTTTATAAAGAAATAAAGTAAAATAAATTTTGCTTTTATGACCCTTTATGGGTTATGATGAAATTGTCACTTTTGCTTGTAAGAGTGTTTTTGTTGCATCAGCATTATTGAGGATTTCCCCTTGGTTAGTTGGTTTTGCTTAGTGGGCTTCCATTTCTCTGATTATTTAATTTGTAATATATATATTTTCTGTTTTTTTCGTCTATATAGTAATGAGAATGCCTATCTATAATATTTTAACTATAGATTATGTAGCATAGGGTTCAAAGGGTCTTCTTAGCTATGCTGCAATTGACCATTCCGAATTGATGATATATTAGAAAACAAGCCACCTTTTATGTTTTATAAGTTTTTTTTAATGAATTCATGAATTTCTTTTGTTGTAAAGTTGTTCTAACTTCTGTATTTGCAGGTTCCATTTTGTCCAATGGTGGGATCAGAAGTGTACTCATCTGAAGTTAAGAAGACAGAGGTGCTCATGGAAAACTTTCGTAGAGCAATTGGCCTGCGTATCAAGGAAAACAAAGAAGTCTATGAAGGAGAGGCAAGTATTTCATGGCATTCCTTCGACTAAGGTTTTGTCAATCTTTATAGTTATAAGGCTGTGCATTTTATGTTAATTGTTGTTGTACGAGAAATATTTGATTGAGTTTTTCATGCCTCAAGTTGGTTGATTCTCGTTCGGCATTACATTGGTTGATAAATTTGTATGGTTTTACAGTGCTTAATTTTTTTGATGGCTTCTTCTTACGAGTTTGGTTTCTTCTTCTTTTTTGTATCCATTTGAGTCTTTCTTTAGTTTATAATACCACTCGGATATTCTTTAGGTGACAGAACTCTCCCCAGAGGAGACTGATAGTATCTCTGGAGGATATGGTAAGAGCATAAGTCATGTCATTATTGGGCTCAAAACTGTCAAAGGAACCAAACAATTGAAGTTGGATCCAACTATATATGATGCTTTGATCAAGGAGAAGGTAGCCGATCTAGAAAGTTTTTATGCTTGCAAGTAATTTAATTCTTTTTCATCTGAGCATTTTTATCAATTTGATTATTTGAATAGTATTTTTGAGTCTTTTTGTTTTTGAATTGTACAAATGTCACTCTTAGTTTTCATTCTTTGATCTTAGAATTTATCCAATGCTAGAACTAATGGTGAGTTGCAGGTTGCTGTTGGTGATGTTATCTATATAGAGGCAAACAGTGGAGCTGTAAAGAGAGTGGGACGCAGTGATGCTTTTGCTACAGAGTTTGATCTTGAAGCAGAAGAGTATGTTCCCTTGCCAAAAGGTGAAGTCCACAAGAAGAAGGAGATAGTTCAGGTATGTACTTTCATCAACTTGTGCATAAAAGCATTTTCAGCTTGTTTATTGTTTCTACAGATTTTTCTGTTTTTCTCTGGATGCTACTTGTTAATTTTAAATGGTATATAGAGTATGAATTTTAGTCTCACAATTTTAGTTCCTTTAAGTGATCATGTCCTTTAGTCATTAGCTGAACTTTTAAGTAAATCCCTTTTAATAGGTAATTTTGGGGTTTAAATTTAATCTGCTTTCTGATTTTTATCTATGCTAAAACTTAACCACTCTCTGAAAGCTTATGTTTGTCCTGTGAATGGTCAACATGCCTCAAACCACCCAGACCTCCTAACCTACAGCTACTGTAGCCCTTACTTCCATCTCATATAACGTCTCACTGTTTTATGTCAAAGATGGATAGCCCACGTTTCTCCTCGATTGCTTTCTCAATCAATTCTTTAAGTGTAAAAGGATAAAAGAATTTCTGACATGTCGTTCTTTGATTAGTGCCCAACAGTCCAACACCTGTGATAAATTTCAAAGAAAAACCCATCTAATCTAGAAGACTAGGTCCCCTATCCCCACCAGGTTCAGGAGTGCTTCCCTCCACAACAAACTTATCGAATCACATTCCAACCAACATGTTCTCTTTCTAATACTTAGAGAAGTGTTTAAGAATGTATGTATATATATGTGTGTGTGTGTGTGCGTGTGCACACGTGCGTGTCTGTGAGTGTGTGTCTATCTGTAAATATGTATATCAGAAAAAGTAAAAAGGATTATGTTAGCCTATAAGCGAACCCCGTACAAGCTCGCCTAGGCCCCATTGTTTTAGGGTCTTTTTTAGGGTCATTTTTTGCGCGTACATCCTCTTGACTCCATTGAATGTCCTCATGAAAATGAATTGAGAAAAAGAACCTGAAAAATAGTTTTTCGAATAGAGTAAATACGATGTATTGTCAGCCATCTGTTTTGGTGCATACTAGACCTACTACGGTTATATATGGTCCAAATCAATTTTTATTTTTATTTTTTGAAATTGTTCATCTAGTGTCTTTTTAGTCCATCCCCAAAAAATGACCCTAAAAAAAATGCACTTAATTCCAAACTTGAGGGGTTGAGGAACTTGTATAGTGTTAACCCATAGGTGCCTAAGTGTTTCCCACGCACACATACACACAAGAAAAAAACTACCAATAGGTTGTGACAAAAAATGAGTAGTACTTTGGCTTATGATCTCAACCATCAGATCTTGATTGAATGGCTGAAAATGTATGTTACTATTTGAATTTTAACATTTTTCTACAAACTGGATCAGAATGAAATTTTGGGCGCACATATTTCCCAACACTTGAAATGACTAGACTACCCTTGGGAATATGTCATGGGTTCTTTGGTCATTTTAAGTTTTTAAAATATTTTTTTTTATATATTTATATTCTGTGTGATGGTGTCAAGTATATATGCCTAAAATCTCAGTTTAGTCTGATTTATAAAAAAAGAAAAGAAAGATGATTAAAATTCAAATAGTAACATGTATTTTCAACGATCCAATCAAGATTTGATGGTTGGGAGCATAATCTAAACTACTATT